CGTGTATTTTTTTTTTTTTTTTTTTTTTTTTTTTTTTTTTTGGTACCGGGGATTGAACTCGGGTCCTGTGCTTGCAAGGCAGGCACCTGAACCACTGGGCTAAATCCCCAGCCCTGGCATATGTGAATTGTTTCCTGCTATCTTGTAGCTATTTCCTCTTCATTCAGTGTACACTGTTTTGCTCTCCTTTTTGTGGCTTCCTTTGGATTATGTTTTTTCTCTTGCAGTACTGAGGATTGAACCCACAGCCTTCACACTGAGTGCCATCCCAGCCCTTCATGATTGTTTTTGGTACCAGGGATCAAACTCAGGACCTTATGCTTGTGAGGCAAGAGTGGTGCCATTGAGCCAAATCCCTGGCTCATTTATGTTTTAAGAAGGGGTCTCCTTAAGTCGCTAATCTGCCCAGGCTGGACTAGCACTTGGGATCCTCCCGCCTTAGTCTCTGGGTGTGTTGGAATTACATGCCTGTGCCACCACACCCGGCTGCACTGAATGCTTCTGTGATTGCGCTTTTAATATCTGCTTTTGGTTTATGGTTTATACTTCCATTTAAAACATGTTTAAGTTGGGGCTGGGGATAGAACTCAGTGGTTCTGGTACCTGCCTTGCAAGTTCAAGGACCAGAGTTTGATTCCTGGTACCAAAAAACCTAAAACAAAACAAAACAAAAAAACATGTTTAAACGGTTGCCCTGGGGCTTGCAGGATTATCAGTCACATGTCAGATATAATTCCATGGCTTCAGGGGGAATCTCTTCTTTCCCTCTCTTTTCTCAACTTTATCTTACTTTTATTATTATTATTTTTTGTACCAGGGATCAAACGCAGGACCTTGCTCTTGCGAAGTTGTCTTTCCCAACTTCTGTTGCTCACACATTTTTCTTAAACTTTTCATTTTCTTTCATGTGCTCACTGATACTCTTCCTTCTGTTGGTCAGGCCTGCATATGGGGCAACAACACTTGAGAAAAACTGTGGTTCCATGGTACAGTGCTTGCCTAGCATGCATGAGGCCCTGGGTCTGTCCTTGCCCTACAAAAAGAGGAAAGGAAATTTACCTTCATCCGTGCCATTTCCAGGGCTCATTTCTTTTTATAGACCTATGTCTTGAACTGCTATAATTTTTTTTTCATTTGTTGGTGTTTTTGAGGCAAGGTCTCCTTCTGTAGTTCAGGCTGGCCTTGAGCTCCTGATGATCTTCCTGCCTCAGTCTCCACCATGCTGGGATTACAGGCCTGTGCCACCATGCCTGGCAACACTCAGATGTTTTAGAGAAGGAATGGAAAAACTTGCCAATCATTCTATTATTCTTGAGAAAAATAAGATTAATTCATTGGCAACAGGTTCTGTGAAGTTAGTTTTTTGGCATGGTGCTCAACAGGCAGGCGCGGCACCACTGAGCCCCATCCCCAGCCCTTAACATGATGCTTTTCTCTCTTTTTTTTTTCTTTTGGTACTGGGGATCAAACTTGTGTCCTTGCACTTGTGAAGCAGGTGCTGGAACCACTGAGCTAAATCCCAGGCCCAGCATGATGCTTTTCTTAGCAGTTATTTACCGAATAAGATTTAGGGACGGGGCACAGTAAACATCTTAACAATCCTGCAAGTTGGTACAGCTGTGGGGCTGGAAGTAACTGGTCATCTTGGAGAGTTCTGTGGAAATACAAAGTGTGAACACTTGCACACTTTTCTTGTGAGACAGGGTCTCACTGCGTAGTCAGGCCGGCCTCAAACTCACAGGGATCCTCCTGCCTCAGCCTCCCGAGTGCTGGGACTGCAGGTGTGTGCCACCACGCATGGCAATTTGCACACTGTAACCAAGCCATTCTGCCCCTCAGTCTACAGCCCAGAGCAGCTGTTCTCTGGATGTGGTCTGGGGAAACTCCAAGGGTAGCCCAGGGCACTTTCTCCCCAGCCAGCTGCCCCACCCTAACCTCCTGCCACTACAGGAGGCCCTACTTTTTTTGTGGTATCCCCAGTTGAACTCAGGACCTTGATGCACTGCTGAGCTCTATCCCTCCGCCCAAGGATCTTTTATCTTAGCACTCAATAAGTTTGTGGACCTGGACACCCACCATGAAAGTCTGATATTCCTATTATTGAGAAAGTGGACTACAGAGGTTTATAAATGCCTGCTACTCTTCAGAGGGACCATGGCTACCTTTCACTCCCAAAGCCAGAGGACTCTGATTCATTCACATGGACATTTTGACCTCTACTTCACTGCTGCAATTTCTCAGGTATATTCAACCTTGTTTGACTCTTACAGTGGTTTCTCACACCCCCTGCCCTGCTCTCTGGAGCTTACATCCTTCCCATTCTCCTTCTCCAACCCTTGGGGGTCCCCTCCTTGGTCACACAGGCTCCAACCCTGAATCCTAGTCCTGCATTCAGTTGAGCAGGGTTTCTGTTTGAGCTGTCAAACAAAACAACCCCCCCCAAACAAACAAACAAAAAACCCTTTTAGGAGCCAAGCATGGTGGTGCACACCTATAATCCCAGCACTCAGGAGGCTGAGGCAGGAGGATCACTGCAAGTTTGAGGCTAGCGTGGGCCACATAATGAATTCAAGGTCTCACTGAACTGCACAAGGAGACCCTGTCTAAAACAAAACAAAACAAATAACAATAAAAATCTCTTTTATTAGTGGGCTTAATGAATCAGTTTCCCTTTCCACTGGTCTAATATGACAGCCACTTTCTTATGAGAGGGCTAGTGTGCTTTGTCTCTGATGTGTTAATGGGAGACACATTTCCTATGTGGGACAGGATTGGTCACTTAACCTAGATACAAGGATTCTGAGGTGAATTCAGGGGACTGAATAGTGTGCTTGGTTTGGTTTTCTCAGACAGTCTCACCATGTAGTTCAGGCTGGCCTTGAACTATGTAGCCTAGATTGGCCCTCGGCTGGTGGTGATCTTCCTGCTTCATCCTTCCATAAAAATATAATTTGAATCTTAAACCACTGTCAGATATATGATTGGAAAATATTTTTTCACATTCTCTGGTTGTAGCCTCACATTTTTTTTTTTTTTTATACTGAGGATTGAACTTAGCACCCTGTGCTTGTGAGGCAGGCAGTGGCACCACTAAGTTAAACCGCGGCCCCTCACATTCTTAATAGTTTCCCTGATGCATGAATGCTTTTCATCTGGAAGAAATCCAATTTATCTATTTTTCTTCTTTTGTTACTCTTGGTTTGTGTGTCAAATCTGAGAACCCATTGCCAAATCAAGTCCATAAAGATTTACCTGCTTTCTTCTAATGGTTTTGTTAGCTCTTATATTCAGGTTGTCAGTCTGCTTTTGTGTGTGTGTGTGTGTGTGTGTGTGTGTGTGTGTGTGTGTGTGTCCTGGGGATCAAACTCAGGACCTTGCGCTTGTAAGGCAGGTGCAAGTGCCACTGAGCTATATCCCCAGCACACCCTCCGTTTTTGATACAAGGTCTCATCCTGTAATTCATGTTGGCCTTGAACTCACTATGTAGCCCAGGCTGGCCTTTAACTCACGGCAATCCTCCTGCCTCAGATTCTTGAGTGCTGGGATCACAGGTATGCACCACCGTGCCCATCTGTTTTCTGTTAATTTTTGTATACGGTGTGAGGCAGGGGTTCAGGTTCATTTTTTTTTTTTTGGTACCAGGGATCAATCTTGGGTCCTTGTGCTTGCAAGGCAGGCAGTGGCACCACTGAGCTAAGTCCCTGGCCTTCAATTCCATTCTTTTGTGAGTGATAATCCAGTTGTCCCATTACCACTTGTTAAAGTGATGATTTTTTTCCCCATCGAATGGTCTTGGAACTCTCTTTGAAAAAAAGACCAACTGGCCATACACGTTGATTCTTTTCTCTTCTTTCTGCAAGCTGGAACCAAAATTGCAGTCTTCCTGCTTTGGTTTCCCAGCCTGCTGGGATTACAGGCATGTATCACCATGCCCAGCAGACATTTATTTCTAAATTAGTTTTGTTATTTTGTTTTTCGAGACAGGGTCTATGCAGTTGAGACTGACCTGGAACTCACTATGTAGTCCAGGCTGGTCTTGAACTTACAGCGATCCTCCTGCCCCAGCCTCCTGAGTGCTGGGATTACAGAAGTGTGCCACCATGCCCAGCTTCTAAACTGTGTTATCCCACAGGTCTATACATCCATCCTTATGCCAGTACCACCTTGTTTTGATTACTGTGGTTTTGTAACAGGCTTCCAAATGAGGAAGTGTGAGTGCTCCAACTTTTCATTTTGCAATACTGTTCTGGCTGGGGGTCCTTTGCAGTTCTGTATGAATTAAAAGATTGACTTTTCATCAGGGTGCAGTGCTGCATACCTGGAATCCCAGCTACTTAGTAGGCTAAGGTAGGAGGCCAGCTTATATAAGGCCAGCTTTGCCAGACTTTGCCTCAAAATAAAATATGAAAAGGGCTAGGGAGGAGGCTCACTGGTAGAAATGTCCCTGGGTCAGATCCCCAGTACCACCACCACCAAAAAGAAAAAAGAAAAAAAGGACAAGAGAATAGAAGGAAAAAATGTAAGCAAAGCTTTTGTAAATGAGAAGAGGAATCGAAGGGAGGGGAGACACACGGGTAAAAGAAGCAAGATATATCACGTACAGCTCCAAATTCCCTATGATGAGTATTATTGTTGTTGTGTATATCTAAAATGTACCAATAGGGCTGGGGATTTAGCTCTGTGGTGCCACTGCCTGCCGCGCAAGCTCAACGTCCTGAGTTTGATCCTCGGTACCCCCTAAAAAAAGTACCAAGAAATGTTTTGCTTAAAAAAAAAAATAGTGTGTCAGAGTCAGGTTCCTGTTACTATAACATACAGCTGAGAGTCAGTGTATAAAGAGGAAAGGTTCATTTTGGCTCACAGGTTGGACAATTCAGTTTACAACTGGCAGCCCCTTTCCTTTGGGCTGTGGTGAGGGCCATCACTGCTCCCCTCTGTGACATGAAGACCTCCCACTGGGCTCTGCCACCTCACCTCACTTCCCAGCAGCACCAATCAGGGGCCAGGACTGTAATACGGGGGCCCTTTGGGGACATTCTAGACCCAGACTGATTTCCAGCAACCTGGCCTTCACTGGTGGGCAGAGGCACCACCCCTCGGGCATTCCTCCTGTCTCTGTCCTTTCCCTTGGAGGACTCAGTCACCCTGGAGCAGGGGCCCAGCTTCTCCAGGGCGACCTCATTTTAACTACATCTGCAATCACCCCGTTTCCAAAGAAGGCTGCATTCAGCTGCACATGGCACTGGGACTTCGATGCATGGATTTGGGGGCAGCACAGCCCCACCACGGATGTGAAGTGGTATCTTACGGACAGTGCCGTGCATGGGGCTGTGGGCCAGGAGCTCAGGCTGCTCGCTGACAGGCACTGGTCCAGCATGGGCCTCAGACCCGGGCATCCTCCTCCGACCGGGGCTTTAGTCCTGGGCGTGGACCTCACTACATCAGACTTCAGAGCTTCACCTCATTCTGGACACATAATAGAATGGATCGTGCGTGACCTTGGAACTGGTTCTTGGATCTTAAGAGCTGGAACTCAGCTTAGAACTGGATTTTAGCTGTGGGTTTTTTGGAGACAGGGTCTCACTACATCGTTCATGCTGGCCTTGAACTCGTGATCCCCCTGCCTCTGCCTCCCAAGCGCTGGGCCTACAGGTGTGCGCCACCACGCCTGGCTCAGTACTGGGTATTGAACCTGGATTCAACACAAGGTGAGGAAGTGGGGTGAGACGGCGGGGTGAGCCCATCAGGGAGGCGCAGGGGTGGTCTGGGTGCACAGATGAGGACCCAAGACGCAGGTGAGAGGAGGCAACGGATGTGTGCAAAGACGGATGCCACATGGCTTTGAGTTCCGAGGGGAAGGGGCTTTCCAGGGAAGGGCGAGGAGGCAGAGACTAGCGATCAAAGCAGCCAGCAGCGGGAGGTCTGACGGGAAGTGGCACCTGGATGAGTGCCCGTGTGCCCAGCAGGGCCTTCAGTGGAGCAGAAGGTGCTGGGCGTCCGAGCCTTGTCAATGTGCGAGTCAGCCCATAGCGTCCAGGGAGCGGCCTCGCGCAGGGTGACGTCCGAGTCGGCACCACAGTGGTTCACCTCCTGGAACCCACACTGTTCTGTGTTCTCCACCCCTGGGACTCAGGCCTGGCCTCAGACCTGCTTTGGACAAGGAAACATCAGTGACCCAAGCGTCATACACCTGAGTGGCTCGCGACGAAAGGCCATCAGGCCCTGGTGGATGCAGTCACACGGGTGTGTGCCGGGGAATCGGCAGGACCGCCCACCACCCAACAGACACGGAGGAAAAAAATACTGTTGTTTTAAGAACTATATTTTCTTGCTTTTGGAGGGGTGAGACAGGATCTCGCTTATGTAGGCCAGGCTGCCTCAAACTTGAGGCAATCTTCCTGCCTCAGCCTCCCGGAGTGCTGAGACGACAGGCACGCAGCACCACGCCCGGCAACACTGACTTTATCAAAGAAGACAGGCCAGGCGGTACTTCTAGAGTTGCTGTGTCTCCCGGGCAAGTCTTCAAGGAAGGAGTAGCTCTCAGCAAGAGGAAAATCCTCCTTCGTAGGCACCACAAATATTCTGGAGAAGAGGCAGATGGAGAGTCAGGTCCTGGAGGGGGAGCTGCGATGAGCCAGACCCTCTGCCGGCTGCTGGCACCTGGCAGCGATGTCGCCACTGGCCCAGGCCTCCCGCTCCTGGGAGAAAGTGCCGCGCGAGTGGGGAGCGGGAGCACAGGCCACGGCACCGCTGTCAGTCAGTGCCCCGCTGGCTGGGGCTGGTCCCGGCCACGCAGTGCACGCCGCCCGCGGGACTGTAGTGCACCAGACCTCGGCGCAGCTGGGGCTCCTCCTCCTCATACCAGCGCTGCTCGCTGAAGTCCGGAAAGAAGGCTGCGATCTCCCGGCTGGCTGACGCTGCAGAGTCTGGGGGGACACAGGGCGGGCAGGCTGTCAGTCAGTGCCCCGCTGGCTGGGGCTGGTCCCGGCCACGCAGTGCACGCCGCCCGCGGGACTGTAGTGCACCAGACCTCGGCGCAGCTGGGGCTCCTCCTCCTCATACCAGCGCTGCTCGCTGAAGTCCGGAAAGAAGGCTGCGATCTCCCGGCTGGCTGACGCTGCAGAGTCTGGGGGGACACAGGGCGGGCAGGTGGAGGCGAGGGGCTTCCCCTGGGTCAGAACCTGAGCTGTGTGTGCTCCTGCCTGGGCAGGGCAGAGAGAGTCCAGGGCCACACTCGCCGAGGTGAAACGAACGCAGGAAGCAAGTGGATGGCAGGACCTCGCTGCCAACTTTACCGCACAGCCCACTCTCCAGGACTTTTTCTTTGTGTAGTACTAGGGATTGAGCCCAGAGCCTCTGCACTGAGCTGTACTCCCAGCCCTTATTTTATTTTTAAATTTTGAGACAGGGTCTTACTAAGTCACTAAGACACCCAGGATGGCCCAAACTTGCAATCCTCCTGCCTCAGCCTCCCACAGTGCTAGGATGATAGTCCCGCACCACCATGCCCTGCACCATTCTTTGCTTGGCTGAGGGAGGAAGACTGACCTGAGCCATGGGTGGTGTTGCGTGTGTCAGTGAGCCCATAGCTCCCGCGGATGGAGTCCGGGGCTGTGTGGCGGGCTCGAAAAACCTTGGTGGGTCCCATCAGCGCCCTCCAGAGCCCGATGGCGTCCTTGTGGGCGAGAATGTATGCTCGGATGGGGCCACTGCAAGGAAGAGGGGTGTCAGGGCTGGCCTGGCCTAGGAGAGCAGGAGGCAGTGTGCAGGACAAGAATGTGGCCCATGGCGCACCCTGCGGGTCTGCGTCCCAGAGCCGGTGACCAACCAGGCCATGAGGGCAGCAGGGTTGCTAGGCAACGCTCCACCATGCTTTCCCTTCACCGGTACAGCGACCAAGGGGTGGGAAGACAGAGACGAAGGAGCACAGTGACGGGTACCTGGCCATGAACTCCACCAGGCGCTGGTAGAAAAAACGTCCTGCAAAGAGAGAGAGGACTTGGTCACAGCACTGCGACCCCTCTCCTGGAGTCACGGACCCCGCAGCAGAGGGAGCAGTGAGGCCCCTGCAGCCTGAATCCTAGCGGGTGCAGGTGAGGTGAGGGCCTTGGGAGAACACAAGAAAGAGTGGCTGACGCAGCAAGCGTTCACTGGTGCTAATTACTGGATGTGCAGTGCAGGGGCTTCCGGTCGCGACCTTCCCGGGAATATCCAGCACTGAAGGCCGCAGGAGCTCGGGACAAAGCGTCCTACCCTGGTGCTCCCGGTAGAAGCTGCGGCAGTCTTCCCTCCTCCACAGCAGCTCCCGCCAGCGCACGATCAGGAACCTGTTGCTCAGGATCTGCTGGTGAACAGCCTGGAGACGGGGTCGGAAGGCGGAGTCAGCAGAGGCCCAGGCTGCCCAAAGAAGCCGTGGAGCCACTCACAGCACTGCGGGGACCTTGGGGTGGGCGACAGGGGTGCTGTTTGTGCCCCCCAAGCCCATAGGACTCAGTGTGCAGGCCACCCCCGAAGTCTTAGCTCAATGAATCAGAAATGCTGTACGCACACAGCACACTCCGGCCAGGGGCACAACCCCCTCGATGCAGTGTTCAAGGCCGCCTTTCCTGGCCCCCGACCACTTCCAGATCTCTGGATCCACAAGCAGGGACTCCTGAACCTGAGACCCACCTGCCTCAGCCTCTCCCTCTCTGGTCTGAGTCCTGCCATATTCAGCCCACCATTATGGACCGTTCTGCTCTCCCCTATGCTACAGTGCTCCCCAATACTTCCCAACCTACGACAGGCAGGACCCTAAAACAATCCTTCCCTGTTCTTGTCTTTTTTTGGTTTTTTGAGACAGGGTCCCACCACGTACTTCAGGCTGGCCTTGAACTCACGACGTAGTCCAGGTTGCCTCAGAACTCTTGGCAATCCTCCCGCCTCAGTCTCCCGAGTAGTACCATCCCTGGCTCCATTTCCTAGATATAAATGCTCCTTGAGGTTCGGTCATTCTACCCCCACTTGTCTAATCCAATGTCAGTGTCTAACTCATGTGAGCGTTGCTCATTTTCATCACTTCATACACCGCTAAGGATTTCCAAGCATTCACCATCAGGCCCGATGTCCCACCCAGACTCCCAGGACCACAACAGCGGTAGAAGACGATTATGTGACGTTATATGTATGAAAGGGATTCGGCATGTTAATAAGGTTGCTAATCTGTGGACTGTGATCCAAAGGGAGCCTCCCTAGGTGAGCCTGAGGAATCCGGTGAGCCTTCCACGCACATATCTTCTGGCTGGGGACAAAATATGGGAAGGACTCGATGCACAGATGTCATCTAAGGCAGAGAGGACCACGTGACGCAGAGCAGGTGAGGTCTCCAGGAACTGTGCGCGGAGCCGACCCGAGGCCCACAAGGGAAGGGCGATCAGCCCCGGCATTACAGGAAGGGGCCCAAGCCTTGCAGACTGGCCACTGACCCGGAAGCAGATTAAGGAGACGGCTGGCTGTGCCTGCGGACTCTGAGTCACGAATCACTTACAGCAATGCTCCACAGCCATGGGCATAAACACACACATTTATGTGTGTTTTACACATAAGGGCCCTTGCATAGATCTGAGTTCTGCTCAGGGCCCCAGAGACTTCCAGTCTTAGGGTCAGAGTCCATGCGGAGTGGCATAGGATGTGCTGTCGGTCACAAGTAGCCCTGGAGCCCCTGGGACAGCAGCCATTGCGAGCGGATGCCAGAGGCTAGGACTGGTCCTTACCTCCAGAATGAGTGGGTGGGCCACCGCATCCGGCTTGATCAGGGCGAGGGTGAGCTGGAGCGCCTGGGGGCTTCGCAGGACAGACATCATGTCACCTCTGCCACTGGAGAGGAGAGTTGGGTGAGGGACCTGCAGGGCTGCTCTGGAAGCAGAGTTGCTGTACAAGGCAGACAGCGCCCCACAACTCAGGGCAGCACACATGCGTGTTTACTGGGATTGGGGGAAGTAGTATAGTTGGGTTGGTGCCACTGGAAGGCCACCAGGGTTGCCCACTCAAGAGAACTATTTATTTATTTATTTATTTGGTACCAGGGATGGAACTTGGGACCCTGAGCTTGTGAGGAAGGCAGCTGAACCACTGAGCTAAATCCCCAGTCCTCCACTCAAGAGAAATTTAAGTTTAAATAGCCAGATGTGGTGGCACACATCTGTGATTCTGGGAGGCTGAGGCAGGAGGATCACCGTGAATTTGAGGCCAGCCTGGGCTACATGGCAAGACACTGTCTCAAAAAGCCAAAGCAAACCAAAACAAAAAACCCTCAAAACAAGCCAGATACCAGTACCTCTGCTGGACACGCGCCATCACTGATCTAATACCGTGGACAGGGGAGAATCTCCCACACCCAAATCGAAGTTGTTAATATACTCAGGAGTCCTCAGGGGCGGGACTCGGAGACTCCAAGGTCAGGGCCTGGTCCTTGTCTATGTGAAGCAGCTGAGACAGCGCCTGGTACCCCGGAGCTCAAACGATTTCACTGACCAGTGAACCTATACACCATATAATCTTCTGGTCTGTGTCCCTGGCATCTAACGCAGTGGTGCAACAGCTCAGTACATACTTGCAGAAAGATGTAGCAAACATAACATATCCAAAAACTTTTTTTGTACCAGGGATCAAACTTTGGACCTTGTGCTTGGGAGACAGGTGCGGTGCCACTGAGCTAAATCCCCGGATCAAAAAAAAAATTTTGAGACAGTATTTCCCTAAGTAGTTTAAACTGCTCAGGTCAAGCTCAAATTTGCAATCTTCCCTCAGCCTCCCAGCCAGCTAGGATTACAGGCGTGTGCCACCACGCAGTCAGAGCTGAACTAAGAATCTGAGGTCTCCCCCAACTATGAAGCTCTATTCAGATGTGAAAATCTGATCGCCTCTGCAGGACTAGGTCTCGAAATATTATCTCAGCAAATCTCTAACTTGCCAGGAACTGCCAAGGGGACTTCCACGAATGCTCCAGAGGAAGGCTGGACAACATCCTGTCTCTTCCGCCTGAAGGGAGCCTCACCATCTAGCGTCCCGCCCAAAGGAAGAAACTATCCTTTACCAGATGTCCCAGTCAAACCGCGAAGCCGGGCCAACTTCCCCAACGGGGTAAGCCTAGCCATCCTGCCTGGTGTTCCTACCCGTACCAAACGCGTCCGAAACCCGTACACATTTCTCTCTAAACTGCTGTCTCCCGCAACTGCCTCCTCTCTGGTTTCCGGGCTCCAGATCTTGCCACCCTCGAAATCTGTTCTCTCGGCAGCCGGAGTGAAGGGTGGTTAATGAGAAGCCGATCATATCATTTCCCTCCTCAAACCCTAAAACCCCAAAGCCTCACTTATCCCAGACCAGCAGGCGGGCCCTTAACTTTTTTCTGCTCGGCTTCCGCGGCCTTTCCCTTCCCGGGGAGGACACGCGACTCGAGGAGGGCAGGGACCTGGGGCCTTTCCCAGTGCCTCAGGGTTGGCTGTCTTGGCTTTTGCTCTCAAACAAATGCTACCAAGTCGAGAAAAATGCTCAACATAAAGGCCACTCCTCAGAAAATTACAATTTAAGGTTCCCGAAGGAGCCGGGGATTTAGCTCAGTGGTTGTGGTTCCACCGCCTGCCTCTCATGAGCAAGGTCCCGAGTTCGATCCCCGGTACCAAAAAGAAACAAACCAACCAACAAAATACCAAAAAGCTCCCGAGGACCGGACATGGTGACGCAAACTGTAATCCAACCTTCAGAGGCTGAGGCAAGAGGGTCACTGCAAGTTCGAGGCCAGCCTGGGCTACGCGGCGAGCCCGTGTCCCACCGCCGCCACACACAAGCCCGCCCGGGGG